AACTGGACTATGCACATCTTCTCCTATTGTTGGCTCTACAACTAGACTATATACATATTATCCTACTACTGGCTCTTCAATTGGACTAGGTACATCTTCTACAACTGGAGTGCTAGAAGGATCTAAACGAGACGACGCGCGAAGAGCCTGCAAAACAAAATTAATTTTTCCCGAAACAAAAAAAAAACAATGACATATTATTCGATAGATATTTGAATAGAAATTGTTGTTTACTATATGAGTCAGCGACTCTAGAACACTATTCACTGATAGTTCAACCTCTTCCAAATCTTCATGAAATGTCGCATCACCAATTATTCTTTCCGGAGACTCTCTTATTTTATCATCTCGATCTTTAGTTTGTACAGTTATACTGCCTTGATGTGGCTCAGCAAAAACAAAAATTTTCTTTCTTCTCTTCAGTTGGTATGTGAACTCAGGTGAACCGACAGCCCTCCTCCTTCTTTAGGTGAACTTAACACTTCGAGCAGAGGATTTGTGTGTTCCCGTTGGTTGTGCATCAACTTCCTTATTTGCTTTGGTTCTTTGCAATCATTCAACCATAGCAATTAAGTTTTGTAATGACTCCCCAACATAAGTCATTTGTTGACTCATTCTATTCATGGTTTCATGCACTATAAGAGTAGGCTTTTCTTAACATTTAAATAGGTCGATTATTATTCTGAATTCTTTATTAGTTGTTGTATGCATCTCTTCTGGGGTGATCTCGCTGGAAAAAAAATGGCCCCATGCTATGGGATAATGGTAAAGATGTTCTGATAGCTGTTTCCAGATGTTGGACAACACTAACAGGGCTAGGTAGTCCCTCTTCCGGGTTGGACAATAAGTGTTGCTCACCCTCTTGCAAATAGATGAAGGAATCGTTAACTTGCAGCACAATAAAAAATGTCTATAATGAATTCCAAATCAATGAAATGAATGACTAAGTTAAACATTCAAATTTTTCATGAAGTAAATGTTTCACCTTTGCACGACCAAGATTTCTGAATGCCTCATGAATCTCTACTGCAGTGCAACCATGATTTGTTGGCTACCTTAGCATGCAAGGCCTAACCTCCGGAACATGAGGAGCAAACACAGAGGTGTGCTTGTAAAACCATAGTTGTGGATGTCTCATATCAGAAAGAGGAATGTAAAAACATATAAAACTGCATCTGAATGAATATTATTGTTTGTAAACAACATATTACTTACAGTTAAAATAAAAACAAAACCCTGGATGTATCCCATTGACTGATTTCATCTTAATTTGGCAGCGACGATGCTAACTTGATCGAGGATGAAGTCACGAATTGCAACGTGCCAGTTATAAGTAGAAAATAACTGTACATCTTCACAAAAGGAAAGAAGTCCCGTGGAGACGCTAAAATTGCTGAAGGAAAAAAATAAATTTGTTAGTATAAACTCCAAAAATAACTGTTCAAAGTGAGTGGAAGAACCTCCTTCAAAAAACTTCATCAGTTAGTCCTTTATTTGTTTGGCATCCACACCAGACGAGGGGGTTTTCCTCTATACAACTGCCTCCCCTCTGTTATGCATACCTAATATCAACGCCAAGTGGTCAGGATGGAATTTTACTTCTTTCCCACCCATTCTGAAGACCATCCTTTCCTTATCCCAACATCTCAAATTTTGTAATGTCAACACATTGTCCTGTGGGTATGGAGGCATATCAAAGAAGTGGAAGACATGCATTTCTTTCAACGAATTCACTGTCTCCTCTGATACAAGATGTCTGATAGAATCCAAAGCACCCCTTACTACAGATGGACGACAATTACAGTTGAATGTCCTTGCGTTCATTAACCTACAAAAGAAAAAAATTAAAATAAGTTCCATAAAAGACATTTTGAAAGAAATACAATACATATAACACCATGAAAGTCATGAGTTACACCCAAAATCAAAGCAACACAGCTCATATACAATTATATTACACAACACAACAACTAAAATAACACCAACTAAAATAACACCAGTTATATAACACCTAAAGCAAAGCCAAACAACACATATACATATAGCACGCACTAACACAAAAATAACACCATCAATATTCAAATGTGTTATTTAGTTATTAATGAGTTTCTACGCATATAACACCAAAACAGCCTTTAGTAACACCAAATATAAAAGCAATACAACACATATACGAATTTCTGACACATAAGCAAAGGATAATGGGTGTCATGCACTCAATAACATCCATTTACACAATCATAACACACCCTAAACAACCACTATGTGGTTCACTGCCATTTCACACATTAGTAACGCCTAAAAACAAAGCCCTGAACCACATATACAACTTTAATACACCATATGAATAAAACATATGTATTATTAACCAGAATAACATACAATAACACAACAATAACACAACAACAACACATCATTAAGATAGAAAACACAACATTCACGTGACTATAACACAGAGATATCACTTCTATAACACATCAATCACAAATGGATAATATAATAGTAACACAAGCAAATCAAAACTGAACGCTAACTCAGCAATAACACAAGGGATGTTCATCAATAATACAAGGGACACTCAGCAATAACACAAGGGATACAATACCTCGATGACTTTGGAGCACTCATCTTCTCTTCGGTTTGCTTGCGACCCTTACCCTTCATTTTTTGCAAATATGAAACCCTAAACCTCTAAACTTGAAACGAAGAAATGACTTTCCTGCTCTACTGCGAACAATGACCATCGTCTTCCGAACGAACAATGACAATGCTCTGGAAACCCTAGCTCCGAAATCTAAGAGACGAAACGTCGAAATAGGGAAGCTGCTCTCGAAACGATGCTCTTTCAACACTTTGCGCTCTTTTTTAACGCAAAAGCACTTTTTAGTAATGTTCTCGGGTTAAGGTCGGACCAAGCCGCAATTTTTTTTTTAACCGGAATTTTCATATGGGCCCACTATGCCACGTGTCACCATATTATTTGTCTTTGAATGTTCCTCTGCGTCAGGACACCTGACCAAATACACGCTCGTATATGCTACACTATCAATTATTCCACCGCTGTCCAATTTAAAAAATAAAAAATAAATGGGTCCACTAAATTATATCTTTGCTGTAATGAACGATGGATATCGAACACCATATTTATTTATGCATACGGTGTTCGTGTGGAATAATTTTTCATACTACACAGATACGATATATAATTGGTCTATTATTGTAATTATACTGCTTAAATATGTAAAGCACATGATATTATAATATTATATGTTAAAAACTAAATATATGAATAAATTAATAAAATAAATATATATGATAAATAATTTTTTTAATTCCTTAAAATTTTTAAAATTGTTTAAATTTAATTAATATACTAAATTTAATTGGAGAAGAAATTGTTTGGCATTGCATATTATTTTCTGATATCGTTCTCCATAAAAAAAAATTAATAGCATAAAACTCCAAACCTAACATTGTCTTTCTCCAAATGTTCTTTTCAATAATCAGTTTTCAGTGCAAATTGCTCGAAGAATCTTCAATCATTTTCATGCCTAATTATAAATCATTGATTCAGTGGCATTATTATATCCTTGATTCACTGGTATTATCATAGAAGTGTCAAATCAAATCCATGGGTTGGGTTTGGGCATGACTCGACACGAAACTATTTAATCCGAATCAAAATTGAATATTAAAAGAGTCAGAATGTCTAAACAGAACACGAGAATACAACCCGTTTAACATAATAAATAAAAATTTGTGTCAAAATCGAGTCAATTTTGAGCCAAATTTGGGTCTAATTCATGTTGACGCGTTGATTTCGAGCCAATTTAAAATTATTGGATCAATTGCAGGTTATTTTTTGATTGAAAATTTAAATCATGCACCACGGGTCCACTGATATTACCCGCACCTAACATATGCCGATGTGGATATGCTTCCTTCGATGAAGTTGAATATATTATTATTATTATAATTGTAATTAAATTCACGTGTAAAAATCTTTCCGGAAAAGCATAAATCATTAAGAGCATTCGTGGGCCCCATGTCTTTGCTGACAAGCCAGAGCAGAACGTTCGCTCTACCTACCAGTCAACGAACGCTCCCTTCCGATTTTCCCGTTTCCACTCTAATCGCAGAAATTACAGCTAAAAACGTTTAAATTTCAATTTGTTAAAACATTGATATTTTTCTATATCTAATTCTAATTCCTTTTCCGGCGAGGGGGGGTTTAAAAAAAAAAAAAAAAAAAAAAAAAAAAAAAAAATCCTCGTTCGCGAACAGCTCATGTTTTGCTTCATAAGTAGTTCGTGTTCAGCTCATTCGTTATATAAAGGATCCAAACACAAACAAGTTTTTAAAGCTCGAATTATAAACAAGCTAAACTCGGATAGCTCTTTGTTTGCTTGTGCTCGGCTCGTTTTTAGTCGTTTTAGCTCGAAATATATATATGTATATATATATATATCTAAATTTAAATCATAATTGCTTGTGTGGTAATGTGATTATGTTTTTTTTTTCATACATTTGGTTCAGGTTCAAATCCAACACTCTACATCTATTTTTTCAGTTTAATTTTAACAAGCTAATTTCGAACCGAATACAAACACAAACACAAATATTTAAATCGAGTTGAACACAAACACAATGTTCATGAGCCAGTTTCGAGCACGAGCCGATTTCAAACCCGTAAAATTTCGAACGAACCAAACACGAGATCGTTTATAACCCTATTTTCAGGAGATTTAAATACATAGCATCCAAAATAATCAAAATAAATTTCATTATTGTAAATATTGAAGTTTAAATACGGTATATGTAGTTTGATTGTTTTTAAGTACCACATAATATTAATTTATTTTTAGCATCTAATACATAAATTAAATTTTAAGGATGATTAAATATTAATAAAAAATTCATTTTTTTTAAATATATATTATATATAAAATAATATTATATAAATGGCAAGAACCCTTCCCAGAGTTGGAAGTTGGCGCCATCAGTCCTGAAACGTATCTTGTATTAAAGCGCTGCAGGAGGAATTTCATCTAGGGTTAGGGTTTGTCGAAGATGATTCTGGTGGCAATTCTTGCGCAGCTGCTTGAGGAGTGCACGGCACTTGTGGCTAGGGTTCTAGAGCATTTTCTTAACGAGGCCCCCTTCCTGCGCCGCTTGCGCTTCTTTATTTTGCGGAGTTTATCCTTCACCTCCATGCCTCGCCGGAACCCCGCGGCGTCGGCTCAATGAATCTCTTGCCGTATCGGTGTAAATATGATCTATCTCCCGCTTCTCTTTTGTTTACTGTTTTTAAATTTTACTTTTGCAGATTTAGGCCTATCGAATTTTGTGTGATTTGGATCTGTTGTTGTTATAAATTTTGTAATAGCTCTGTAATGAGGTTTTTCTGGAGATTTGATATTCTTCAGCAACTAATAAGATGGCCTTTAATGTGCATGTTTTAATCTGAGATTCTTAGCCGTCTGTTTACATTTGACTTAGCATCTAAACAAAAGCAAGAAATAATTTGATAAAAAATCGTGATCATGCTAGTGGATAAAGCCATTAATATCATCGATTGATTTACATGCAATAATTCTGAGCCGTTTCCTCAAAGACTTGATTTGATTCTGGAAGAAGATTAACTGAAATAAGTCAGGAAGACTTGAGACTAGTCATACAGTGCAAGTGCCGGTTTTTTTTTTTTTTTGTCTGTAGTTAATAGTGTAGGTACAGCAGCTGAATAAGATGGGTGGTCCTTTGGAAGTGCGTAAAATCTGTCATTTTTACAATGATGAAAAATGGGAAGCTGTCTGGAGAGTGTGTGATGGGTATTCCATGTTACAAAGTGATATGCTACCAACAAATTTTAATCAGCCAGCATGAATTTCAGTGTAATTTTTTGAACAAGAGACATTCAAATTTCGATTAAAAGTCATCCGGAGCTCCGATTTCAGCAAAATTATAGTCAAACTGATCAGCTCGAACTACTATTGGAGGATTTTCGAAGGCATTTGAAAGGTCAAACGGATGGCAAATCTAGCAAGTTTATAATCGGATCGAAGGAGTGTCCTCTTTTGATTCTTCAATTTCTTCTCTCTCAACTTCAATTTCTTTTTGAACCCTACCTTCCACCTCTTTTCCACTTCTAAGTTGAACGACTTTTACCTGCTCTTTATTATGTTCTTTTGGATTTGATTTAGTATTACTAGAAAGTGTTCCTTGGGATCTATTAGAGCCTCACCCCTCACATGAAAGGAGGAGGCTTAAGAGAGAGCTTGAGGTTTTGAGAAGGAGCTCAGGTCCAAGATCATCCTCACCATCGTCGATCGCCGTCTACCACCACTGACCGTCGACAACGACCGCCGACCTCTGTCGACCACTGTCGGCCACCATCAGCCACCGCCGTTGACCCCCGTTGATCACCGCTGACCTCCGTCAACCACCACTTACTAGATATCATTAGTCGACGTTGTAACGTGGAAAGCTAGTAACCCTTTCTCTTCTATGGGACAAGGGGCATCTGTAATCATCAACTTATAGTGGATTTTTACAACTGGGTCAGACCCCGTGGTTTTTCAATTTTTACGGGTTTTCCACGTAAAACTTCTGGTGTGATCACAGCTCAATTCATTTTTATCTGAGTGTATGTTGAATCCTCGTGCAACGCTAAGACGATAATCGATTACTCTACTGCCACGAATTTTCTAGCACACATCACAAAGCATTATGGTGCATGAGATGTTTAAGGTTTTCTTTATCCATTTCCCTCGTTCGTGGAAAAATAAAAAGAAGATGATCAAAAAAGAACAAAATTTAGATGTAGATGGAAGATATTTTTTTATTTTAGGAGTTAAGATATTTGTAAAATAAATTTATAAAAAAAATTAAAGTCTTTACATGATTAGTCTTTTTTTGTTATTAAAAAGAAATGGATGTCCTGTATTTTCCTTACAATTATTGTACATTCTTATTATAAATGAATACACAAAATCACATTTTTTTTTCTTTTCTGAATTTATTTCTGTTCAAGATGAGGATGACTTTTGGTTGCTTACAAAAGCTACAGTATACGAAAGTATATGACAGTTTTATTGCTATTTCAAATAAGATTTAACTTAGGGGGTGTTTGGTAGCATACTTATTATCGGATTTTGTCATGAATTTAACTTAAACTTAAAGCCTGCCAAACACTGAAAAAAAAAAAAATCCAATACACTCATTAAATCAAATTTTATCTTGTTCTGTTACTTTTTTCTCGATTGTGAAACATATTTATCCCGTCTTCGCGCGAGCTCCTCTGGTCATTTGTGTAATCCGGATTTATCATATCACATAAATCCTATTAATGGTAAATTTGATGTGCAGCCAAACACCGCCTTAATATGTACGCTTTGGCGGATGAGAGAATTAAGATTAATAATTTAGCAAATCCGGTTCACTCATAATGATGATTTAATTAACCTGATTTAGATAAATATGTGTGCAGATTTAGTCTTTCAATTTTTATTTATATTTTGCAAAGTTGAGAACAACTGGATAATGAATGCAAATAATCAAATTTGACCTAGGTGGTCTGGATCATTGAATATGTAAATTATTTTACTTTGACGAAAGCTGATCACATTTGCATCTGGCATTAAAATATGCAGTGTTGGCTGGACTTTGACAAATGATAAACACATTGATATCAGGTATGAAAATTTGCTTTATGGAATGGACTTGAGGTCTTCTATCGAATGTTTATTGTTATTTGATGTTGTAACTATTTTATGGCCCTTTAATCTTTTTGCAAAGGTGAGGGGATACATTCTTCTCTCTAGTGCTCCCATTTTTTATATGTTCAGACAAAGATTTAAGAAAATTATGATTTGTAGGGTTTTTGTTGTTTTTTGTGAAGCATGTTCTTCTTAAAAAAACAACCGCCGTAGCAGAAGGTGAAGGTGGAACCAGAATTCCACATATGAACTAGAATTATTTGTTGTCATAAGAGCATTAAAACATTGGGAGCGCTATCTTTTTCATCAAGAATTCATTTTATTTAGTGATCATCGATCTCTGCAATTTTACCAAAGTCAGAAAACATTGAATCGAATAAACATGCGATATATAGTCTTTTTACAAAAAGTTTAGTTTTATTCTAACACAAAAATCTGAAATGACTAACAAAGTTGTTGATGCTTTGAGTAGACGAGCCAACCTCCTAGTGTCCCTGCAAACTAGTATCACTGGTATGGAATCTATCAAAGGTTTATATGTGGATGATTCAGATTTGCTAAACCGTGGAACAAATGCAATTCAGGTTAGCCAATTATAGATTTTTCTCTCCAAAAGGGTTATTTATTTAAAGGAAATCAGCTATGTATACCAAATACCTCACTGAGAATGCGGCTAATTCGAGAACTCCAAGGTGGTGGTCTAGCAGCTCACATTGGAAGAGATAAAACCTTATCATTTATTGCAAGCTCGCTTCTTTTTGCCTAAGCTCTAACGGGATGCATCAAGATATGTGGAATGTTGTCATAAATGCCAAACTTACAAAGGATCATCACAAAACATTGGTCTATACAACCCGTTACCAATTCCAGATTCAATTTGAGAAGTCTTAAGTCTTGATTTTGTTTTGGGGCTGCCGAAAATAAACCATGGGATGGATTTTTGTGATGGTGATTGTAGATAATTTTTTCCAAAATGTCACATTTTTTTGCTTGCAAGAAAACATTTGACGCACTTAATGTGGCGAGAATCTTTTTCAAAGACATAGTTCGATTGCATGGCATACCTCAAAGCTTGATCTCTGACTGTGATTTCTAATCCGTGAGCTATTTTTGGAGAGAACTTTTGAAGTAATTTCAAATCAATCTCAAGTTGAGTTTTGCTTATCATCCACAAACCGATGGCCAAACGGAGGTCACCAATAGAACACTTGCAAATATGATTAGATATCTGGTGGGAAAACAAACAAAGAGATGGGATGAAGCCTTAAGTTAATTCTATGGTGAACCATTCTACGAGTCGGGCTCAATTTGACATTGTTTATACTAAGGCTCCCAACCATATAGTTGATTTGGCTATTATACCAAAACCAAACCATAAAGCTGCTAGTCAGTTAGCAATCGGCTTCACTACCGTGCTTCAAGACGTTCATCGAAAGCTTATCGCCAATGTTGCAAAGTACAAGTCACAAGCTGATAAACACTGCAAGCATAAAGAATTTAATGTAAGAGATTTGATTATGGTTCATCTGCGCAAAGAGCTCTTTCAAGTCGGCATTATTCTAAATTGAAACCAAGAAATTTGGGTCTTTTCCTATCTCTGCTAAAACAAATGATAATGCCTATGTTATTCGACTGTCACTGTTAAATATATGGAGTTTGTGACTTATGTACCTCACCTATCGCGTCTCACATACCTCTCTCCCACCTATCTCTCTCCACCTACCTCTCTCCCTCTTCTTTAAATAACCTATTTCGGCCTGTCATAATTGCTAAGCCAATTCCTCTTCAAAGCTAAGAGAGAGAAAGGAAGAGAGAAAGAGAAAGTGAGTTTTTTCTTATAAACTTGGAGACCCTCGACGGTGTAATTTCTTGAAGTACTAAAATCCTCTGCAACTCCGTGAACGTAGGCAAATTAGCCGAACCACGTAAATCTGTGTTATTTTCTGGTTTGCAATTTTTCGATCCGATTTTTTCACTTTATTGCCGTTGTTTTTTTATAACAATTGGTATCAAAGTCATGATTTTGAATCTAAGGAAAAACGATGGGCAAGAACAAAATGAAGGTTTCAGAGATCGAGAAGTTTGATGACATGAATTTTGATTACTGGACGATGCAGATAGAGGACTACCTCTATGAGAAGAAATTTCAGCTTCCATTACTGGGAAAACAACCGAAAAAGATGGACGAGGCGGAATGAAATCTGTTGGATTGACAGGTTCTGAGGGTTATTCGATTGACCCTGTCGAGATCCGTTGCCCACAACGTCATCAAGTAAAGACTACTGCAGATCTCATGATGACTTTTTCAGGTTTATATGAAAAGCCATCGATGAATAACAATGTGCATTTGATGAAAAAGTTATTCAACATGAAGATGACGGAATGTGTGTCTGTTATTCAACACCTGAATGATTTCAATACTATCACAAATCAATTGTCGTCTATTGAAATTTATTTTAATAATGAGATACGTGCGCTGATATTATTGGTACCATTGCCAAATAACTTGGAAGCCATGAAGATGACCATGAAGATGACAGTTAGCCAGTTAGCAGTTCTGCAGGTAAATTCAAACTAAAATATGATGATATTCGTGATTTGATTTTAACTGAGGATGTGCGCATAAAATATTCTGACTAGACCTCAAATTCGAGTTCGGCACTGATTGTTGATTACAGAGGGAAATCACAGAACAAAAACTTAAACAGAGGAAGATCAAAATCAAAGTTCGGTCAGCAGGTAACCTGCTGAAATTTTGGCAAGACTGACCACATAAAAATGAACTGCATGTGTTTTCGTTCTTTTTTCTCTTTTATTTTAGAAGGAGTCGTCAGCCCGTCGATCGTCGTATACTTTTCTTTTCCGAATAAATCTCTCTTTCGGGTCATATAGATGGCCTGAAGAAGAGAGGAACCTGACATACGACAAAACTTCAGATAAGAGAAAACACAAAACGTGGAGAGCTTACGTGCGGTAAATCTCGCAATGATAGGTTAAGAATGCCCACACAAACAAGATCGGGCGAAAGCACCTTAAACCGATATCCGCAAAAGAATACCTACGTAGGATATCTATAACCAAAGATTCAGGTGTAGGTGTCTGTTCTCGGGCCATGAGTGCTCCTAAGGGGGCGCATCCCACTTAGTTAATTAAATCTTGGGGGTTGCCCAAGAAAACTCTTGATCCAAAGGGGTTTTACTTACCTGAAAAATGACAACTAGCACAGACTCTTCAAGGGAGGTTATCTCCCAGAGGGAATGTCCTGATGCTTCAAAGCTCTCGCTAAGCCACAGGGCGAGAAGTGAGTCTCTCGTAGTCCCCATATGGATAGCGTACTCATCAGCATACAGAACCTATGAAATAACCGTATAATCCTAATATATCATCCCAACGGGAAGTCCCGATACGTCAAAGCACATCCGAACCGTAAGGGCAGAGGACAAATCGTCGTATCCCAAACGGACGACAACTCATCAGTCATCAGGCCGTCGGGATGATTCCGATGAAGCCAAAAGAAGAGATAAGGCTCAACGGAGGTGGTCAAAAAGTAGGGAAGAGTGGTCCTAAGAGGTAGAGGTAACTGGGTCGGGGCACCACATACCCGTCATCCCAAGCCACTAGGACCCTAGATTTACCTGGTCGTGATGGCAGTCGACCCAACACAACCTGGGATCCCCGGTCAGCAATCCGTGATTGCGTCGTCCACGGGAACCCCGCTAGTCCTAAGGTCAAAGGAACGAAACTCTATCCTATGACTATCGGCTGGAACTTCAAGATGTGAGACTTATACCCGTCGAAGTGGCGAGGTGCCTCAGGACAGAAAAGAAAGTGGAGGTTCAGCTACAAAGCTGGAAACGCTCCCAACAAAAGGACTTATACCTCGTCTGGGTCGGGGAGCCTTCTAACACCCTAGGCGCACTAGACAACCACTTATAAAAGGTATGTTGGGTCAGTCAAATTGAAGAAGCACGAGGGCTCCTCCTCGGGACATGCAAATATGAATGCAGTTATCTAGAGCGGTCCTTAAGTATTGTGGATGCCCCATTAATATATGCAAGAAAGTAAATGTTGCAATTTTTAAATCCTGAATATTTTAATCCTAAACTTTAATTATTTTGAATATTTTATTTAAAATTTTTAAGTTGAAAATTTTGGATTTTAAGTCCTAAAGAGCCTATATTATATCGTGAAATCTCAGATAAACCACAGAAAGAAACGAGGAAAACATATGCAAGTGCATTCATGCAACATGATGCAAAAAACAAAAAATAAGCCAAATTAAAATAATAAACAGGTCGGTGCCGTTGGGTCGGCAACATATCCCAGAAAATAAAAGGGGTACATCAATATAAAATGTAGAATTAAGATACGGGGCACGAGCATCTGCTCCTGGTCTCCTCCACGTGGTTCCCGCGCTAAATGTCTCGGAATCCGTGCCCGTATTTTATTTTTGCTACAAGACTCTTCTAGAATCTAAAAAGTACATAGGAAAGTAAAAGACTCAATCTTGCATGAAAACAAGTGTCAGCGGGAAAGCCACATGCAAATAACGTATCATGAGTCATGCCTTAAAATTGGGGGAGCTAATAGCACCTGCAAGCAAAAGGGTCAGAAATCATTACTTGCTCCCCCGACAACAGTATTTGTGTGTGTTCATAAATAGACATGACTCCCTGCAGAAAAACACCCTAACATATTATCACACATATGCAGCATACAGTCACACCACAAACACAATGCAAAATAAAGATACCTAGCTAGGGCAATCAATCGAACAGAGAACAATAGTCATGCATCAAAAAGACTAACTAGCACTCTAAATCCTAGCCTAGCACACCATCTAACGAAAAGTGCGTCAACCTAGTATCTAAGTGCGGGGTAAGTCTGGTATAGTATGACTTTGATAGGGTTGCCATACCGACCCCATTCTAATGATCCAATAGATTTAAAAGGTGTCACGAAAGGAGGTGACACAAGTTAGATTCATTGGATTCTTAGCACAGTCATACTTCTAGCAAATTTTTTCCCCTTGAGAATTAGCAGAAGTACAAGAATTCTAATGAGGCGATATTGATATGATACTATTTGAAGAAGAACTCTTTTTTTTAGGGCATGAAAATCTGAACTTGCAAATATCGACCACATCTCTGGCGAGCACAAGAATATGAACAACTCACATACAGTACACATATTGTTATTGGTAAATCAGTTAGCGAAGTGCATAGAAGAAATATCCTCCATGGCGGTTGATCTTTCTTAGCAACATTGAGTATTGTGGATACTCGAGAAGAACGGAGGGAGGCAGACAATCCTTAATTAAAGTGTGGAGATTTTGCAACATTTCCAACTGAGGTATTAGCTTTTAAAGAGGAGAATATAAAGTTGTGGTCTCAACGTACATGCAAAGAATTTCGTCAACGCTTCTGCAAAGGATTTACCGATCATACTGTTGAGCTGCAACTGATCTTGAGGGCATGCCTTTTATTCAGGTTTCTAGATCCCCCTTGACTCAAAAGAGGGGTTCGAAGTGAAAGTGATTTGTAGAACTGTACTCTTGATGTTGAGGAGGAAGATTGGCGTTGATTAATACTATGTTTGTATGTCTGCTCTGTGGTTTTACACTAGCATTTTTGTGCAGTGTGATGGTTTTTTTAGAAATATTTGAATTTGCTCAAAAGTTTATCTCATATTTCTTATCCTCATGTGGGAAGGAGGGTGTTTGTAGTTCTCTTTAGGCTCTAATTTTTTTTCTGTATCGGATGAAAATTCATTTGGCGAGAGTTTAGGGGACATGGGTAATCAACATTTGTGCTCGTGATGATAAAGCTTTGGTTTTGTCTGCTGTTGACGATATTTATTGGATGATTTAGATTTGAAGAAGATAAAGACCTATGCTTCTATGAACTGGCTCCAATTTTCCATTGAAAAAAAATTAATTGACTTATTAGACAAATTGAGTTTGGCGGCAATTAAGGCTCGTGTTCGTATGACATTGATGCAATTTGCCTTTAAAAATGTATCAACAAACCCATATAACATTCTAGCTTTGGAGTTAGCATGGCCTATGTTTCTACGTTATGGCTCTAGTTCACCCTTAAAAAAGTATTAACTGGCCCGCTGGATGGCCTGTGTTCAAAGATGATATTGACCCATGTTTATCATAAATCATATTTAAAGTAGTAGCTTCAAATCAATATTTAAATTAATTTTCATTTTATTTTCCACTAAAATTTATTTTAAGTATAGTTATATATTGATAAGCTTTGTCCAATTTAAGGGTGTAAATGAGTCAAATTTGAGAGAGCCCTGAGCTTGTTCGTGTTTGGTTCATTCAATTTTTTAATTTTATTTTTCCAAAATAGGTTTATGGGTGAAATGTCTCGTGAATATTATGTTCATATCAGGCTTGATTTGAATTCGTTTTTTACTCCAAATTAGCACCAATGACTTGAAAAATACGAAAATTTAATATTTGTTTAAAAAAACATAAAAAAATCAATAGGTAAATATTTTAATATTATTATTTAATTATTTGTAGCCAAAACAAATGTTCTATTGTGTTTGGCCCATTTAAAAATCGAGCTCAAAAAAGTTGTTTTTAGCTCGCAAGCTTATTGAACGAATAGAACATGAATTACTTGGTAAGCCTTAGATTAGTTATTCCCAAACTAACAAGAATAGGACTTGCAGAATCACTGAAGTGTTCAACCATGCAGCCTTATGA